GCTGCGATGGTTTAGGCATGAGTTGCGAATGCCTCCAGAAAGGAGGCAACTCCGCTAAGCAACTCTTTCTTGCGAAACTGACCAGCAGAAGGCTAGGAGACGGCCAAGATTAACCAGGTACAAATATATGGAAGGAGTCTGTTCGAGACTTCTGACGAAGCTCAGACTCTGGCACAGGATCGGGAACGTTGGAAGCTGTCGGAAGCGTCTCCCACCGTGACACGAAAGGAAAAGCGGCCATGGAGGATGAGGATGAAGATTTAATTCCGAAAACATCAGCTCATCGTACCGTGTTTCCCACATGCAGATTTTCTTAACTGTCAAGACGCATACTGGCAAATACGGTACGAGTATAGCTGTTCCGCTTTTACATTTGACCAGAAATCGGAAAACACCCACTTACCTCTTAAGGGCAAAAAAAATGAAACTTCGTTTGGGGTGTCATAACGATACTTAAGAAAACTGCTCCATCGATGACAGGTAACGGAACCCGAAATGCATCCAATTTATTTCAGCATTTTTGTCACTATGAGAGTTTTCATGTCTTCAACCGCCAGCTCTGCCGGGATTGCCAGTCAACCTTTAGTAAGAAATCACCCTCCTTAACGATTTCTAAGTAAAGCTGCCTCAGAGACCTAAGAATTTTAGGAAAATCTTCACTCCTCAGCAAAACGGTGAACAGCAGTAAAACATTCATTTGCTCAAACTGATTAACTCTACGTGCGATGCATTTATATATTTTCCAGATGAATTTCTGGACAACTGTAAACACAAAAATAAGGAGTTTAGAGCTGGCTACCATACGAACCCCGTGCTTGAAACTCACGCAAAAAATGAAACCCATGAAAAATCAATGCTTTAAGCTGTGCCATATCAAAAAAAAATACTTCCTCTCTTGCAAGAAAATGTTAATGTGAACAGTAATTATCCCGTCTGCCTCATCACTCTCTATTCCCTGTTAACTTTCCGGTGGAATTTATGAGTTAGTTGTTTAAATTATTCAGTTCATTATTATACTCATTCGAGGAGGACAAAACACTCATCTCCGTTCATCTTCTCTATTTGTATGGGCACTGTGACGTTAGGTGGATTCGTAAGTGTCCTTCAATGGTACCTTTTACACGCCAAACTAAGCCAGTTAGTAGGTTTTTCGACAGCATTTTTGTCAGCTGCAAATATGACGATTGTAATGCTATGCAATCCATCTGGAAATTCAGCATTTCATGAACAACATTCCACGAACTTGTCGCTTTGAACAGTTTTTCCCAGAAATTACCATGAAAAAGAAAAATCCACCGTAAGCCGAAAAGAAATGCCACAGGTCGTGCCAGTCGTAAAAACCGAATAGCAAACAGCTTTGATTTAACTCTCGGGACTGTGCAGGACTAACCTGAAAATGCAACCTCTGAACAGTGGCTGAAAACAGCGAATGCGACTTACGTTAAAATCAGCAGTCTTATGCGAAAAGAATGAGGAAGCAAGCCAAAAGCAAGAAATCGCTAAAGCCATGTAAACGTAGGTCCGGAATGCCACAACTTCGCGGCACACCATCTGAAATTAAACAACCAACAATGAAAATGTTACCAGCACTGCAATGCCTGAAAATATTTTACCTTGCAGCCAAGATAATATGTGAGATATAGGACCGCATTTATGGTCAGTTTGTACAAGACAAAAGCTGGGAACGGTATGGTAGAAAGCACAACAATGCACAGAGTTCTGAAATCAGCGGTCAGTAAACACCTGGCTCACTCAGAAACAGAAACGAAAGCTCAGTTTAACGCGATCAATAGAAAAACGTGATTTTCAGTATAATCAAAAGAACAAGCACACCAAATAACCGTAAAACGAACCAAACTGCTAACAAAAACGTTACAGCCGATCTATCAAACCAACTACATGGTCAATGTACTCAACAAGAGCATAAAGACATTAGGATTCAATTCTTCACGGGAGTATCATAAGCACGAATCGATAACTTCAGCTGGCCACAGGAGGTTTCAAATTTTGCCGTTTAGCAAATGATCGGAACAGCAGCAGCACAATAACAACTTGTTATGCTATATCAATAGGTATTTCTTGGCAGAACTTGGTAGTGACTGGAATTCATCAGAATCAGGATTTCTGGTATATTTTACAGCGAACTTCGCAAGCGATTTTATCGATAACACTATATTCACACTGTGCGACTGTCTTTTCGCGGCAGGGCGGTTCATT